CATTACACGCTTCAGACAATTTACGTTTTCTTATTGTTTTGTCAAAGTTTATATCAGGAACTAAGTGTTTTAAGCAAAAATTTAGCTAATCATACAATAGTAGACCCTACTGAGGCAATTAATTTGAAGAAAAAATTCGGCTATCGCTCTGTATCCACTGCCCCATAATCACACTAGAGGATGGGTAAGATAAGGTGACAATTCTAAAATCTAATCTAATATAACTACGGTGCAGGGAGACATTGATGACAGAATCGTTGATCATTGAATCAACCCAACACCAAATAGGAATGTCATAGGAAAGACTCATCATTACATATTGGAGAAATAAACGAATGAAGAACTGTTAGACTATACAAAGGATAATTTATGCTTGGAATATCATCCAGTTAGCAATAATGCTGTGTGTCACTGTATCCTAATATCATCAAATAAGCCAATCAAATATGACACTTTCCAACGAATTTGGTTATTGTGTTTATAGTCATTTGTACACTTGTATGCTTCACTGAGTTACTCTACTTCTAGAAGTTACTTTATTCCAGAAAATGTTCCTTGATATAGTATAGTACTGTTGATTAATGACAGTAATAGTAATGACATATAGGTAATGATATAACTGAGAGATATACATTGGGAGGAGGATTAATCGAACTATGAATTCGATATTGGTAGAATATATCCTTAAATGCCTAGAAAAACAATTACATTCAAATAGTGTGATGAATACAGGAGGGTAGATTGACGTCAACCTCTATAAGTAAACGGATTATAGAAATTGATCACAGGATTGACCTCAAAAACAGCTTTATCAAACCATTTTTATAGGAGCCATCAGGACGATATACTTTGATTGATTAAAGTCCTTGCCCTATGCCTACCTTTCTTGATAATCTTTATCCCATTTTAATACCAAAAAAAGAGTGTGAAAATGTATTATTATGTATTATAATCCATTATTTTTTTCCAAATCTTGTACTCTTCTAATTTGAATTGCTTTTCCGCACTCTATTTTCACCTTAACAGTACTATATAGATAATAAGTGGGTGTAGAACGACTCTACGATTGATTCCTTTTGTCTCAGGGACCCCCCAATCATACAGTCTGCATCCTCGCACACGACTTAAGCCAACAATCAGGGACTTCATCGATTGGTGCCACATCTTCGTCTGGCATAGAACGTAGTGGTAGGCGGTGACTCAACACATGCTACCTAGATAAGTAAATCTTTGATCAGATTGTTCGAAATATACTGCCCAAGCACATCACATTTCTTAGATAACCTCCGTGATCTAATTACACCATACAAAAATGAAACAACTCTCTACATACTACTACAAACAAGACTTGAGTAGCTAAGTCGTGAAATCGTTGGTTTCGGTACCGAGTAGTGCAGATTCAAATCATTGAAAAGAAATCAGTTTCCTCATGATCATATAGATGCTTAACATTATTATAGTAGGTTAAACTATAGTTTAGTGATGGGAAACCTTGAGGACAATCAATCAGATTGGAGATGATTTATTCAAGCTATTCGTTACCTTCATTTACTGTGTTTTTAACGCTACACAAAACTTTGATGAATTATGACAAACGTTAACGTTGCAGATTCAATTTGAAATTTGTTAAAGAAGGTAATGTGGTCAATATAGGTCAATATCCTTTCCAGAGACATAAATATAACCTAGGCTAGCAGTTTTGCGAAAACACATGAGATTGGGTATCATTTCCGTAATGTCTCTCACTCAAAGGCGTGCCGAGTAAGTAAATCACCTTATTAAACGCTCTCTACTAGAACACTTGTGGGCATGTTAGAGCCTATGGTGAGATGTCAGGTGAGCTATACTCATCAAGTAGTGTCCGTCAAGGGTGCCCACTCACTTCATTCTTATTCAATTTCATCATAGATATTCTTATGGAGGTTTCCCTCTCGTCACCTAATTACACAGACGTTGACTTAATCAGAGGAGAATTTTCGTTAGACCTAGAATATGCAGATGACATAGTCCTGTTAAGTGAAGACGCTGACAAGATGCAGAGTCCTCTGAACACTTTGAGTGGGAATTTGAGAATGTCTAAGATGCGTTTCTCACTACCTAAATGTAAATTGATGCACCAGGACTGGTCTTCAGCGGTACTGCGGCTAACAACAGAGAGTGTAATGGTTGAGTGTGTTAACCAATTCATTTACTTAGGAAGTAGGATCAGCCCTGCTGCCTTGGTCAGTGGCCAATGAAATTTCTGCACGGATACAAAAGGCTCGGTTGGCTTTCGCCAAATTACACCACCTGTGGCGCCACCGAGATATCCGATTTTCTATGAAGGGTCGCGTGTACTGTACAACAGTCCGGTCTGTTCTAGTGTACGGCTGTGAAAAATGACCATTGAAGGTGGAAGACATGAGAAGAATGGCTTCAGGTGTTTGACCACCGTTGCCTTCGTAGGATAGGCCATATTCCATGGAGTCACCACACTACGTGAGTAACGCAGAAGTCAGGCTCAGGCGTAGAATTTTAAGGAGATAAGGTGAGTGAACCTTCATCGACTGAGATGGTTGGCTACGACACGTGTTACGTATGCCTAGTCACCGATGGCCTCCTCACATAATATTGGTTGAAGTAGGTCCAGACTGCAGAAAGGCCCGAGGTGACCAGACTAAAGCATGGCATCAGTGTATGAAGTCTTTGACTGTTGGTTTGAGCCATGTGGGATTATGGAGACTAGCCGGTTGGGGTCCGTGGGACAAGAAAACCAGTGCTTGGATACTGTAGGTGACAACGTGGCTCAGAACCGATGTCAGTGAGGGGCAGATGTATGCACACATTATCTTCATCTTAACGACGCTATTTCGAATCTCACCATTTTCTCATTCTTCCTTTATCTATTTTCGTAGATCAGGTTTCACAAACCTAGAGAAGAACTGTTCGCACCGAAGCGTTGTAAACCTGACGTTGTGACGGTGCCAAAGGTGGCTCAGACTGACGTATGTTACTCTGGCTTTTGATATGAGGTTGGAACTTTCATCACACACCACTAGTAATCACATAACTATCCAGATACACGAACTTTTCCAGTACTTCTAACGGCTCTCCACCAACTGTGAGCGCACGCACAGGCTCCTGCCACTCTTTGCATTTCGATGGTGCAAAGCATATACTATACTTACGAGGAAATAAACAACCATCTTGATTCCTGGAATCATTCAGGTATTATTGTTTTCGTTACTAATATTTTTTTTATTTCAAGTTGGTGGTACTCATCATTGACACTGACCTCAGTTGAAGAACCATTCAAAACCTGGGGATACCCGACAGGTGTTTCGATCTAGTATTGTACTCTTCAGCAGTATGCAACCAAAACCCTGACGGGAGCCTAATTCTTACGGTGAGCACATAGGTATTCAACTACTGGGTGTGAGTCTACTATTCTACTATTCTACTTCTATCAACTTGTGATATAGTGTCGTTGGAGGCCGCTTCAGACTTCATCTAACCTATATGTCACTGCTTCTGGTATATGTATCTCGAAGTATTTTACTAATGAGCACTAGGCAGTAATTTAGTCTGAGGTTCGTAGGGGTTAGAATGTTAATACTGAGTAATGATTGAAGGTGAAGTGGAAATCTACACCGTAACAGTGTTGGAACCAGCGACATCCGAGTTTCCAGTCCAATGCCTCTACCAAATAACCTATGAGACCCTACTACTAAAATCACTTCATCAGGAACTCACCTGACTGTTGGATAAAATATTTGATGATTAAGTTGAAATTAAAATCTAGTCAATACTGAGACCATAACCTTCACAGGTCGTTGGTTCGAATGCTGTCGTGGCGTAGATTTACATTTCAGTTTTGATCGCTATCACTCAGTGTGAACATTATTTATACAGCTTAATTGCTACAATAATTACTATATAACATGTTGCCAAGGGATTAGGTTTTGCTGGATTATTACACGCTGAGAATTTCAAACTGCTGTTCTCTAGAATCTCCTAATGTCTATGGGCACTATAGGTAGATGCTACTTTATATAACATACCGATTGCTTTGACACAACATTTCTCAGGAGCTGTGGTTTACTTTATATACTCTAGGATTCAACTAAATTTTAGTGACGACCAATCATATTCAAGTATGCACTGACCAATGAGAATCAAGAATATAAAGCACAAAGTTAGTTATTCAGAGAAATGATACCCATCCATCCATCCAAATCAACATAGGACCAGTCATTACTGCGTAACGGTCCAACTTCCCGCCACACCTCATAGCAGTACATCAAGTAATTGGGCAGTGAGGCGCAAGATGGAGATAAGAGAATGCAGTCAAAAGAAACATAAAGTACGAGAAGAAAGGAAAGAGGAGTGACAAAATGGTGAGATTCGATATGGCGTCGTTAAGATGAAGATAATGTGTGCATACATCTGCCCCTCACTGACATCGGTTCTGAGCCACGTTGTCACCTACAGTATCCAAGCACTGATTTTCTTGTCCCACGGACCCCAACCGGCTAGTCTCCATAATCCCACATGGCTCAAACCAACAGTCAAAGACTTCATACACTGATGCCATGCTTTAGTCTGGTCACCTCGGGCCTTTCTGCAGTCTGGACCTACTTCAACCAATATTATGTGAGGAGGCCATCGGTGACTAGGCATACGTAACACGTGTCGTAGCCAACCATCTCAGTCGATGAAGGTTCACTCACCTTTTCTCCTTAAAACTCTACGCCTGAGCCTGACTTCTGCGTTACTCATGTGGTAATACGATGCAATACCTGAAGCCTTCAGTGATGAAATTGCCATTATCCAACTATTGACAAAATTAAAAGGATTATTCCCACTTTCATACATTCAATAGTACTTTGTACTGAGAAGAGTTTCTAGGATAATATAAACACGTTCAACTTTGAATAATAACTCCATCCAAAGAGTATATTGATTAATATAAAAGATAATGGTAGAGAAAAAATAATAATCATCATGAAAAACTAACTCACTTTCTACTTCATGTATAGCTAGTCTAAAAATACTCTTTTCATTCTCTAAAGGCGGTGATATATATCGCATACATAACTTCATTGTTGGATACTCTGAATCGAATAGATATCCACCGATAGCTAATTCTTTTGTCTTATTGAACTTTTATATACATTGAAGAGAAAGTTGAAAAAAGGAGAATAAACATTAGAAAATTATATTACATATGAAGTATACATTGATATGTAGATAAGAATTTCAAGTTTTTAATTCATTATGGACTGATATCAATTGAAGGAAATGAACTAGACAGTTATTTCGTCCTAACATGAGACTCCTCGGCAGAGGTCGAACCAAAGACCTTCAGGTTCCATGGCCAGCACGTTACCATTGAAGCCACTGGGTTGGGGGAATCCAATGGTTCATATTTTTCAACTTCTATGAGTTCAGGATATATATATATATATATATATATATATATATATATATATATATATATATATATATATATATATATATATAGCGCGATCTACATCCAATGTTGCCGCTGAATAACTCTCCTCATCTTCGACTTGGTTGACTCTAACGGTGATGACTATACATTAGAACTTCAGGAATCATCACTCGAAGTTAGTCATCAATAAGCGTTAGATTAATTCTATTTGGAGGTTTGTGGATGTTTATTCCTACAACTGATAAACCTCCACATATGTTAAGATAGAATTAACTTGGCGCTCATTGATGACTAGCTTCGGTAGATGATTCCCGAAGTTCCAATGAAAAGTCGTGATCAGTGGGATCAATCAAGTCGAAGATAAGGAGAGTTATTCAGCAACGACATAGGATGTAGATCGCGCCATATCATGCACTGACAGAAGTAGGAAATGTGGATCATAGGATTCCAACCCACTGACTCAATGGTAACGTGCTGGTCACGCGACATAGAGGTTCTGAGTTCGACTCCTTCCTGGCGGGGCGGTGTCATGGATGCGCACTGCTGAGGAGTCCCATACTAGGACGAAACAGTTGTCCAGTGCCTCAAGTTTTAAAATGTTCCTCCAACTGATATCAGTCCATGATGAATTCCAACCTAAAATCAACTGATAAACCTCCATAAACCTCTCATTATCATCATCATCATCATCGATAACAAAATAGGACCAGGATTACTGCGTAACGGCCCAACTTCCCACCACAACTCATAGCAGTAGATTAAGTAGAAAGGCGATGAAGTGGAAGATGAAAAAAACAAAATTCAGTCAAAAGGAATATAAAGTACGAAAAGAGATAAAGGAAGAATGAGAAAATGGTGAAATTCGATATAGCGTCGTTAGGATGAGGACATCTTCTTCCCCCCCCCCACTGACATCGGTTCTGAGCCATGTAGTCACCTACAGTCTCCAAGCACTGGTTTGCCTTGTCCCATAGACCCCAACCGGCTAGTCTCCATAGTCCCACATGGCTCAAACCAACAGTCAAAGACTTCATACATTAATGCCATGCCTTAGTCTGGCAGCCTCAGGACTTTTTCCAGCCTAGACCTACTTCGGTCAATAATGCGTGACGATGCAGACGGCTACTAGGCATACATAACACATGTTCTAACTACAAACCTCCAGATATGTGATGTAAAATTTCACTAGTGAACTTAATAAGTAAATACTTAAGCAATATTATCAGATGTGATTAAATGCCGCCTAACTCGCGATGCACCACCCCGAGCAAAATATTAGGCCACATTATCCAAGAGAGTCTAAAAGGTGATCTAGATTCAAGATTACGACCGGAAAAAGCTGGTTTCAATAGAAACAAATCATGTGCGGATGAAATCGCAACACTACGCTACGCATCATCATCATAGAACAGAGTATAGAATGGCAGTCAACTCTCTACCTCAACTTCATCGATTCTGAAAGCGTCGATCGAGAAGTAATTCGGCAGCTGCTTCAAAACTACGTTTTTAGTGCCACAAACCTTCATCAACCTCATTCAACAGCTATATGACGACGCGATATGTCAAGTGATTCACAATGGAAAGCTCAGTGACGCCTTTGAAGGGAAGACAGCAGTAAGACAAAGTTGCCGCATACTATCACCGATGATCTTCCTGATTGTGGTCGACTAGATTATGCAGAAAACTGTTAGGAGCAAGAAGAGGAGCATACGCTGGTTGCACCCATGAAAAGAGCCTAGAAGATTTGGATTTCACCGACGATGATTTATGTCTGATATCTTGTCGCACAAACTCGAGGATCTACAGATAAAAACTAACAAGTTGACAGAAAAGGCGAGGCAGCGAAGACAGGACTTCTTTCAGATAAACCTAGGGAAGATAGAGGTGATGTGACGAAGACACCCGACCAACAACAACAACAACCAGCACCAATCACTATCAACAAGAGAAATCTAAACCAAGTAGTCTCTTTCACCTACCTACCCACCTACCTACATACCTACCTAGACAGCATCGTTTCAACTACAGGTGGCGGCACAAGCACACACGAGGATGTCAAAGCCACGATCAGAAACACAGCAAGACAGACCTTCTTGCATTAATCTCAAATAATTAGTGTGGAGATCTACTGCACTCCACTACACTCCACTCCACTCCACTCAGCATAAAGCGTGAACAACATTCCCATTTTCAACAATTATCTCAGTCACGTCAATGCTTCTATGTGATAGTTGAGAGACTTGGCGCATCACAAAAAACATTTCCAACAAACTGTACACATACACCAAGAACCGCCTACACTCGATACTGAATATGAGATCAGATGGCCAGAATAATAAGAATAAACAACAAGGAATTCTCACCTCGCAACCAACCAACTAACCAACCTACTACGCATCGTCCAACAAATATACAGTGGAAGAAAGTGGAGATGGATGGGATTGGACACACACTGAGAAGACCATTCGGTGACATCACGAGCAACATCACACCAGGCCAGCCATCGAATGGAACCTAAATGGGAAACGACGAGTTGGGAGTCCAAGGAGAGGGTGACATGGACAGGATATCGTATGAGGAAGGAATGAGAGCTTATGTGCAGTCGTTGAGTCAGGTTGAAAAGACTGCAGAGAAGAGAGTGAAATGGCGACGTGCTACTGAAGCCGTATGTCTCACTAGGAACCCAAAGGAAAAATATTGCTAATACCTTGGCATACGATGGTTAACCGAATTAGGATTGCGTTGGAAGAAACCACCGATTTCAACACTCTAACTGTATCGGAGTGCATACATAATTTCTGTACACATATACATTCAACAGTGAAAGTAATCCAATTCATCTAAGAATTAGAAAATAGTGAAGGGGAGCTAACAATGTTGGATTTCAGAATAAAGCGTCAAGGTAAGCTACTAAATCATTCACGAAGAAATATTGACAGCTCAATTCATATTGAAGGTAGTGCTGATGATATTGTCTAGAAAGATGATGAAAGCTCCACGACTAAACAACACAATACAACCAAGATCATCCCCACCTGAGCTACGAATATTCCTCGTCATTTCAAAACGAAAACAAGATGAAAGTTTAGACAATAATGTCTACAGAAAACACTCACACCTGAATCGTTACTTCAACTTCAAATCATCTCCTTTCAGTTAACGTTGGCTTGGTAAAATGTTTGAGTAACAGGGCCAGAAAACTTACTAGTAAAACAGAACATCTAAGATAAGAAATCAGATATAATAAAGACACCTTACTCACCAGCAATTACTCTGCCAAATTAATTGATAAGTTCCTTAGGAATTGTAAGAAAAATATTAGTAACACAGGTGTTAATAGTAATAATAGTAGTGGTAATTCTGTGAAGAGAGGATACAGAACCTTAAAAATACTATGTAGGATCTTTAATAAGGCTGGCTGGGAATAATTTAGCTTACCAAATTCCATAAAACAATTGTAAGGTCGAATACATTGATCAAAGTAGTCGACCAGAGGGTCAAATAGACTATCAGAGGAGAAAAGCGTAACTAAATCAAGATTAGTAGATCCTAGTAAGATAGAAAATCTAGGGGGAATGCTCGGCTATAGCGCTATGCATGTGACTGCATATCTACCATACAATGGGATAGGATAGGATGAAAATCCTGATGACTAAACACAGTGAGGTGGAGGGAGAAATTGATAAATGAATCCTCGTTTATCGAATCAACACCTTGTACACGCAGCCACAGGAATGACTCAGCGCGTGTTCTGAATGTAAGGAAAATCTTACTAGCCGTATCACAAAGATGGCGAAGAAATTAGGACTAGTTTTGGAGTCACACCTTGACATGACTATGGACAATAAATTATAGCCAAAATGTAACCCAATAAATAACAGTACTAGTATAAGGGTTTTTTTTATATGATACCGTAGTTGATTGGACCGAATTGATCGGTCTCTATTGGCGTATGGGCTCCTGTGCGGATGCCTCGATATTGCCAGCAATCTACTTATGTTACTGATGGATCGTGGCTAGCAGTGGAATCCAGGATGCGCATTTCGTCCTATTTGGGACTCGCCAGCTGGATGTACCTGCTTCCCAGTGAGCGATGTTGTTCCCATCGGGATCAATTCGGTCCAATCAACGACGGTATCATATGAAAAAACCCTTATACTACCCGTCGCACAAGAAGTGGCTATCGTGGCTCGGTGGTGTAGTGGATGACGCGCTGGCGTCTGAAGCGATCGCTCCCGAGTCTGAGTCCCGATGGGAACAATATCACTCACTGGGAAGTAGGTACATCCAGCTGACAAGTCGCAAATAGGATGATTAATAACAATACTGTTCCATCACTGTATGATGCGTACGCAAAGTGACACAGAATGGATAGATTGTGTTGAGTACTTCTAGTAACCTCAGTCTCAACTTTCATACACTTTTTTTCTAATTTAATATCATTATTGTAAAAACTCGATGTAGTGCATACATTTGCAGCTCATTGATCTAAGCCTTTGATTTCTAAACAACTGGCCATGGGTTCCATTTACAGAGAGGTTTAGGCCTTCATATATAACAAGTATAGCTCACTGCTTATTGTACGAATACGTACTAGACTTCTGAGATGATTTCTTTCAATTTAGACATGGAAATAATACATTCTTGTGTATCAAGTTCTACGTTCATCTACCTGATATCATAATTCCTTAGTGTTTATTTGCTGGAT